GGGGTTTTCTTGTAGAGTTTTCAGAGAAGTTCAATGTCCATAGGAATTTTTACAACACACGATGATCCTTTTGGTCTAAAATGATCTTCACATTGGAAGTAAGTGAACTTACATTCTTGGCTATAGGTTTAATATCTTTTGACTTTGAAGTTATATTATAATCTTTAGTTATTCTGATTCTTGCTATATCACAGTTCCCTTTTGCATTCTTTTCACGGTTTACATTCTCTGATTCTCCGCTTCTGTTAAAATCGGAACATGGTATGGTTTTGGTCGAAAACCATAAGACTCGATTCTCATCATTAGCTCTAAGCAATTGAGAGGAAGCCTTTGCTCCTTAGTAATGTAAAACAAATATAGATACAATAGTGATCTTTGTGTGATCACTGTTCTTTAGTACATTGGTGACTTTTGTACCTATTAGTGGAAAAGTGAAACTATGAATTGCAAAACGAACAACATTTTTTTTTTGCTGAAACTCATTTACAAGTTTCTTCCTTTTCAACCCTAGAGATAACCTTAGACCAAGATCCATATAATCACCATCAAAAAAATCTCACCCATAAAAATAGAATCACGAGATATCTCAATGTCTGTGTTACGGAGTCTCGAATTGTTTCCCTTCGAAAGTTTGTCCGTAAATCCAGTTTCTAGGAGCGACATTGTAAGCTGTCACGGTCGATCTGTCACTAGCAGTTACCTCAAACGAGAGTGCTTGGTTCTTGAGATCGGCATTGATATGCCAATTTTGTCCCCAGTTACGACCCATTGGTAACCACCCGGTTCTCGACCCTTTGATCTTCACAGCAGCTATATCACCGGATCCCGCAACATTGGTGATCAAAACCGATACGAAAATGCCTCCACCATCAACTGTAAACCGAATGCTCCCTTCCCTTCTACAGTTAATCCTGTTTTTGTAAAAACCAACAAACAATGGTTATATGTTCTGCAAACTCTTAACAGTCTCAGTTACAAAACAACACTCTCCCACAAACCAATAAGGATCCAATGAATCAGACAGTATCCTAAACCTGAAGATCGATAATACACCAATAACTCCTAGCAATTGAAATGAAACCAATATGATTACCAAAAACTCTTCACATTTACTTCAAAATGCCATCAATCAAAACCGCATTCAAATGCCATATTTGAATTCAGCAAGTAGAGGGATCAGGGGCAATAAAGTAAATTGCTAATTTGGGGGAGAGCATTTAGGGCAAACAGTGCTAATATAAAGCACACGAATATCGAAGAAGACGGCAAAAACAAAAGCAAAAAAGCATCATTACTTGAATTGTTTTAAAAAATTCAAATTGAAAACGACACAATAATAAAAAAACCAGAACCGCGTTCCCACCACCGCAAACGCAATTCTCAGAAAACGCTAATAAATGTTCAGAGAGAGATATTGGAGTAAAACGCACCTTCGATACTGCACCGGCATATTCCCAGCTTTCCAAATAGCGATCTTCTCAAACGCTTCAATCGGAAGCACAAAATGTTTATTCGGTGGATTACAGTGACCACCACCGTCTGGATCAAATCCGTAATTAGGAGCACAGAAATTAGTAGCGGTAACGATGATCGAAGTACCAGGGATACACCAACGAAGATCATCGACACATCTAAGCTCAAAACAAGCACCACAGATCTGACCTCGATCAAACAGAGTCTCGCTTAAACCAACCGTAGCCATACCGTACCCAGATTTGATGAGATCTCCGTAACCACACGCACCACCCACCGCGTCTCTAGGATTCGTAGCGGCGTAGTAAGTGGCTCGAGCGGGACGCCATTCTGAGGCGTCGGAGGAGACT